GGGGGCACAGCATAGGGTACCTACCGAGCGCATCGGCGGCAAAAATACCGACGCTTCACTGGTGAATATAATTCCTCACTTTTCACTACTCGAATGATCGTCGAGCGAAATAAAATCAAAATCCACTCAAATCTGTCATTACTGAAGTCAGGGGTTTGGCCCACGCGAAAATTTTTGTTTCTCTTCTTTGGGAAAACACCCGCCATGATCACGAGTGCCCACACCAGAGGTGAAGGTCGAGGGATCGTGGGGGTTTTTCTGCATATTTGATATCCGGTCTTTTTTTTCGTCACAATTACAAAGCCGTAAAAAATTCGTCTTCATTTGCACTTCCATCAGTGTCAGAACTATCAGACAGGAAGAGGAGAGTCCCAATTTTCCCGGGGAGTGAGAGCTGCTTGCGCGAGGCTGGGAACAAGGGGACTGACCCGGCGTTCCAAAATGCTATGCAGGGCCTAGATTTTTTTTTATGGCGCAACCCCGGCGCAGACCCATTCTCTCACATGAAGCCTACGAGCGCTTTCGCCTAAATTTGACGGCGCTAAATTTTTGGGTGTAGATCTACGGTTTTGGACATCACCAAAAAAAGCGTAGTCTACGGGACGGACCCTAAAAGGGGTTTAACTGAAAAATCCTTTCGTTCCCTGGGATTCCTCAGCTTATTAATCTCACCCCAAAAACTTTTTCTTATTTCAACAAAATTTATTTTGTACATCTCACCCACTCTCTCATTTGCTCTTTTTTTTACATTGCTTCACCCTCCTTAACCTCTCTTTTTCTCTCCATAACTCCCCCTCCTTGCATTGCAATACTTTGTAAAAACCTTTTCATATGCCAACTTTTTCCCCCTGACTCTCCTCTTTACATGACATTCCCCCAAATCACTCTTTTCCCTCCTGCACCCATTTCCTGAACCCACAAATTTTTTGTTGAACACTCGAAACACACATAAAAAAACCCCCCAAACAACTTTAAACCCCTTGCCTATAATCCTCTCCTCACTTAACGATGGGGTGGGGAAAACCAAGCCCCCGTCAGAAAACGAATTCTTCAAATGAGAAACATACAAATTTTGGGTGGGGGGGATTTGGTCAACCTTTTTGATATTTTTTTAATGTCCCCCTTACCCTTTTAAAAATTTTTTCGGTATATTTTTAAAATGTTCATACAGCAGGTACTGATTTGAAAAAATTTGAAAAAAATCAGTTTCCAATATACATTATTTATAAAAAATACTTGTCAAGAGCCCGTCATAATCTGGGGCGTCAGTAAACGAGTACGTCCTAAGTGAGGAGGGCTTACCCACTACCATCTACCCCTCCAACAGTTGTTTATATTTTAAATAAAACTGCTTCCTCTTTTAGTTTAAAACCTTCACCCACTTTACTTGCGTTTCTATTTTCCCCTTGTTCCCCATCTACCTTTTACTCTCACTGTAGCTACAACAAAAAAGTGATCTGATATATCTTGGCCCTCTAAAAACATGTGCATCCGCATCTACTAAACAGTCTTTTATCTACCAAACTAACCAACAAACTACTGTCATTTATGCCTTACATCATATTTGTAACTTATTTATCCTCTTTTTCTTAAAAGTTTTATCTATAACTAAACCCCCTTTCTAACAAAGTTCAATAAAAGGGCCCCATTTTCATTTACACCGACCCCCAAAACTTCCCCTACCCACCCTCCTAAATGTTTCTCCTTTTTTAGCATTTAGGTCCCCTACCCAATTACTCTCTCATGGTTTAAAAAGTTACTAACATTCACTTAACATCTCCCAAAATCTCTCTCTTCCCCTTTACTCTCCCTCTTTCAGATGCCACAACGCTTAATGGCCCACTTTTCGCATCCGACCCTTATTTTAATCCACAAAATCCTTGAATATATACTTTTAAATTTCCCTTCTTCCCCTTCCATAACTGTCCTTCAACAGTATTGCTAACCCTTTCCCTTTGCTCTAACTCTCTCAGATCTCCTGACTTTAAACCACATTTTTTTCCTCGCTGAAACTACCTACCCCCTCATTTTTTTTTCGCTTAGGGCCAGGGGCATCCAACTTCTTTTCATTTATAAAATCAGCAATATCTCTTTCTTTTCACTGCACTACATCCCGCACATTCAGGCATCCCCGTTTATAAAGTTTTTCTTCTCTTTTTTATAAAGTATACAGGAAAGGGGTTACTACCCAGTCCCCGGCATTTCAGTAGCCTCTTTCAACTGCATGGCTTACAGAGGAAAGATTTTTTTTTTCCACTTCCCATGAAGAATAAGGAAATAAAGAAGAACAAGATATTAAAAAAAAAAAAACCCAGATTGGGGCTATGATATACATGATGGCATGCCCATGAGTGGGGACCTAAATGTAATAAAGTCAAAAAAATCTGTTATCAAATGTGTTTATGAAGAGAAAAAAGACACCCGCAATCCTACCATTAAACGTTACAGGTTTCGTTTCACACTCATTTGGGAGGATGGATATCTCCTGGGTGGCTGCTGTCATCAACCACTACATCTTTTTAGTTATTTAAATTTTTTTAACCCCACAATGAAAAAAGCAAAAATTACAATTATAGACAACTAGTAAATATATAGCAAATTAAAAAATACCCAAGAGGGTATAGAACCTCTGAAAAAAAACAAACAGACTTTTTTATAATTATTAAAAGAGAAAACAGAAAATAAGATAACTTATAAAAAAATTACAGTTGGACAAAAAGACTGACAAAATGCAAATAAGAAATAATTCACTCATCATTTTCCAAAGAAAAACACAACACCATTACTTTGATTGTCTACCCAGCAAGCTTCAGACTTCACAGTCAAATATTGATCCAACAAATTGCATCATCGTCATTTCAAGTTCAGCTAATATATAGTACAACAGCAATTAAATGCAAAGGTTACATTCCTAAAAATTGGCATGCAATTGAATTTTGTGATACAGTAAACCATTTATGTAATGGACTAATGGGGAAGGGGTGAATGTTAATGCTGACTGTCCATTAAACCCAAATGAACAATTTTTGGATTTAATGTATTAAGTCCATTAAATCTGAAAATAAATTTACCAAAAGGACTGCAACAATAACGATAATTCTGTAATTGTCCACAAAAGTAACAGACACTTCTGATTTAACAGACATTGAGACTATGCAGTGAACTGTATGAATACAGTGGGTAATTCTGGATTTAAAAGACTTTGTCTATTGTTTCCAAAGGTTGTCCAGCTGCAGATTTTGTCCATTAAATGGGGGTCTATTAAATCAAGGTTTTACTTTAACTGATCCAAAGAACATATGCAAAAATTGGGTTACATTCCATGGACCTCTAAAAATGTCTAAATATCCCAATATGCCCAAAATAGAACAGTTTACCTCATCTTACATTCTGTTAGCCATTACTTGAAGTACCTGAAGAGTCTTCTTTTAAAATCATACCCTTTCTCAAAAACACTAATATTTTCTTTTTTATACGACCCATTATAAAAACATTAAAAATCAGGGAGGATTCTATACTCTCTCAATTCCGTATATCTAACAAGTCATTGTCTTTCTAATCTAATCCACAAAATATTCATTTTTTCTTTCCATAGATGTTCATTCAGAATTAGTGAAACTGCAATTCCAACTATCTCAGACACATCAAACTTCTTCTTTCAACACACCAGCCATATCCCACCGAGGTGGGGTGGCCCAAAAGGAAAAACGAAAGTTTCTCTTTTATTACACTTAGTAATATATACAGGAGAAGGGGTTACTAGCCCCTTGCTCCTGGCATTTTAGTTGCCTCTTACAACACGCATGGCTTATGGAGGAAGAATTCTGTTCCACTTCCCCATGGAGGTAAGAGGAAATAAACAAGAACAAGAACTTGAAAGAAAATAGAAGAAAACCCAGAGGGGAGTGTATATATATGCTTGCACATGTATGTGTAGTGTGACCTAAGTGTAAGTAGAAGTAGCAAGATGTACCTGAAATCCTGCATGTTTATGAGACAGAAAAAAGACACCAGCAATCCTACCATCATGTAAAACAATTACAGGTTTCTGTTTTACGCTCACTTGGCAGGACGGTAGTACCTCCCTGGGCAGTTGCTGTCTACCAACCTACTACCTAGAACATCAAACTTCTTCTTTCTTTCAACACACCGGCCATATCCCCCTAAGGCAGGGTGGCCCAAAAAGAAAAACGAAAGTTTCTCTTTTAAATTTAGTAATTTATACGGGAGAAGGGGTTACTAGCCCCTTGCTCCTGGCATTTTAGTTGCCTCTTACAACACGCATGGCTTACGGAGGAAGAATTCTGTTCCACTTCCCCATGGAGATAAGAGGAAATAAACAAGAACAAGAACTAGAAAGAAAATAGAAAAATATCCAGAGGGGTATGTATATATATGCTTGTACATGTATGTGTAGTGTGACCTAAGTGTAAGTAGAAGTAGCAAGACGTACCAGAAATCCTGCATGTTTATGAGACAGAAAAAAGGACACCAGCAATCTTACCATCATTTAAAACAATTACAGGTTTTCGTTTTACACTCACTTGGCAGGACGGTAGTACCTCCCTGGGCAGTTGCTGTCTACCAACCTACTACCTAGAACATCAAACTTATACAGTGTTAATCCTTTTATGTCTGCTCACCCTTTCACTGATTTTCCTTTATCTACACTTCCATTCAAACAATCAAACTCTAATATTATTTCTTGTATCTTTGGCTAAGAAATACACAAGAGGTGACAAGCACCTTGCTTCCCTGGTACTTTAAGCCATCTACAAGACACATGGTTTCTGAGTAAGGATTCTACTTTTCCACAAGATATGAAAGAAAAATTACATATTTCAAAAACTGACTCAAATATGTAGCAAGTAATATAAAAAGTTTATAAGAGAGATTAGGATAAGTGTATCTTAAAATTTACGGGAGAAAAAGAATAAAATCCACTAGCATTACAAAGAACATTGCCATAACTTATAAATACCAATGGAAGATGTAGAGATGGATGCCAATTATTATAATAACATGCATGAAGAATATATATAAAATATGATGAAATATCTTACTGGAGGAGGACTGGCACAAACTGCAGCTGCTCCAGTAAGGCTCATACCCAGTTCTCCACTCAGCCAAGATTTAGCATCCTTTCCTAAGCTGCCTGTAAATATTAGTGAATAAATTTACACATACACATTACAAAACCTGGTGAAAATCCTACAAACCAAATTACACTAACTGTTAATCTTTTTCTTTCAACAAAGTGGCTGTATCCCACCAAAAAGAAAATAAAAATTTCTCTTTATAAATTTAGTAACATTTACAGAAGGGGTTTCTAACTGTTAATGTAAGCTGTTAAATAAAATGATGTGTTAAAGGTAGAAAGCAATATAGTGCACCTTGCAAGATACACTAAATGTGTCTTATTACAGAGCTGGAAGCTGAAGTATGGTTGTAAAAAAACAAATACAGTGGACCCCCGCCTTACGATATTAATCCGTTCCTGAGAGCTCATCGTAAACCGAAATTATCGTAAGGCAAATTAATTTTCCCCATAAGAAATAATGGAAATCAAATTAATCTGTGCAAGACACCCCAAAGTATGAAAAAAAAAAAATTTTACCACATGAAATATTAATTTAAATACACACAAACTGAAGAAGACATGCACAATTACTACTCTACTAAGAATAGAATACATGACACTTACCTTTATTGAAGATCTGGTGATGATTGATGGGATGGGAGGAGGGGAGAGTGTGGAAGTTATTGTTTAGAAGGGGAATCCCCTTCCATTAGGACTTGAGGTAGCAAGTCCTTTTCCGGGGTTACTTCCCTTATTCTTTTAATGCCACTAGGACCAGCTTGAGACACTGGACCTCTGTCGCACAACAAATCTGTCCATAGAGGTCTGTACCTCTCGTTGCTTTAAGATTTGCCTAAAATGGGCCACAACATTGTCATTGTAATAGTCACCAGCATGGCTTGCAATAGCTGTGTTAGGGTGATTTTCATCCATAAAGGTTTACACTTCAACCCACTTTGCACACATTTCCTTAATCTTTGAAGTAGGCACAATGGATTCCACAACTCGCATAGGCTTCTCAGGGTTAGCCCCAAACCCTTCAAAATCTTTCTTAATTTCCATACTAATTCTCACCCTTTTTACCACAGGGTTGGCACTAGAAGCTTTCTTGGGGCCCATGGTGACTTATTTTGCAGTTACAAGCACAAAAAACACTGGGATAAGGTGAAATGTACCGAATGTATGTGTGGATGCGACCACACTGGCTGGCTTGTAAACACTGGCGCTGAGGCCACACGTGGGACGTGTCCCGGAGGAATCACGTAAGGCAAGTTTTTTATCGTGAGACGAGGCAAAATTTTGCGTTCAAATGCTTCGTATGGCGGATTTAATGTAAGGCGATGCGTTTGTAAGGCGGGGGTCCAGTGTAGTTAATCAAATACATATATTAAAAAGAGACCTTATATTTTTATGATGTTTCTCTTACAAAAAGGCTTAACCTTTGACTATCAAGACCCCAAGTCCTGAAGTGTCTCTCTGTGTCGCAAAATATTCGAAAAAAGAAAATCTCATGAAACAATAATCTTTTCCCGATGGTAACGAAACAAAAAATACGAAATTTGATCGAAAACTTACGAAATTATGCTCTTACGAAGTCAGTGATCTCCGCGATATATACGCATCAGCGATTTCGCCCACTTTGAGTCCTATTTTCGTCCAATTCCATTGTACCAGTCGATCAAATTCATAGCTATTTCTTTAGAACTCCATTTGTTTTATCAACTGAGTACAAGAAACCTCCCATTTACCAAGTTTAACTACCCAATAAAGTGGTAAGAAATTGGCAATTTGGCCAATTTCATGCAAATTAAAAAAAGATGCCAATTTCAAAACAGGGTCCAGAATAAATAATGCAGAAATTCCTGGCACTAAAATAACATTTTCTCTGTTCATCAGTCACATCTCCAGGCCCCTCTTATATTACTCTTGCTTTCTATTTTGAATTTTTATTCACACAAAAATAGAAGATTTACTGTTTGCAGGGCTACTGCATTATTGTAATAATTGTATAAATAACGTCAATCCATTCATGACTGCGTATTAGACTGGCCAGTTGGACACATATTGGATGGTGACGCCATTGGTTTACTCTTGAACATCAGCAAAAATCAAATATTTCCGCTGCTGTGAGCTCAATTTCAAGGTCCTTTTCAACATGAAACCAATCAAAATCATCTCTATTTCTGTAATATATCTTCCATTCTATCAAATGAGACCAGGAAAATGAGAATAAAACCATAAATACTATATGAAAATACACTTCACCGTCAGCGTTTTAATCCAAAAACATGGTCAGTTTTTTTTTCTCATTATGCACTGTGTGCTACAGTATTTTTTTATACTACACACACTGACCACACAGACCCATTCTCTGACATGTGGGCCTACCAGCCGCTAGAATTCTTGCGTTTTAAATTTACGTCAAAAACACTGGCTCATAAGACGTGTATATACGACACCGACAGTCCAAAGTTCAATCAAATGCAGGAAAAAATTACAAAATATTGATAAATGGTGCTATAAGGTAGTCATATTAAGTGCATAACCTCTGCCACAATAAAACACACTCAGCACATTGTCTTAAAACATAAAGTAACTCCTTCATGTGTTGTTCTGAGCTTCAAGTAAGAGCCAGTTATCTTCAAACAAAAATTACAAATAAATCTGGAATAAATAGTAACAAAACACTCAATAAATATTCCAAACTATATTGCAAACAAAATATTTATTATTTTTTATTACACATCAGCCATTTCACACTAAGGTAGGGTGGCCTGCAAAAGAAAAACTTTTCCTATCATTCACTCCATCAGTGTCTTGGCAGAGGCACACTTACACTACAGTTATAAAACTGCAACATTAACACCCCTCCTTCAGAGTGCTGGCACTGTACTTCCCATCTCCAGGACTCAAGTCCAGCCTGTCAGTTTCCCTGAATCCCTTCATAAATGTTACCTTGCTCACACTCCAACAGCATGTCAAGTCCTAAAATCCATTTGTCTCCATTCACCAGGCTCTGATGGCCTGGTGGCTAACGCTCTCGCTTCACACAGCAAGGGCCTGGGTTCGATTCCCAGCCAGAGTAGAAACATTGGGTGTGTTTCTTTCCACCTGTTGTCTATGTTCCCAATCAGTAAAATGGGTACCTGGGTGTTAGTCGGCTGGTGTGGGTCGCATCCTGGGACACTGACCTAATTTGCCCGAAATACTGACCATAACAAGGGGTTTTCTATATAGCAGTATGTCACTGATGTCAGCTAGGCCTATATACCATGTACATGTAGTTGTAGTAAATAAAGACATTATTATTATTATTATCTAACACACTGGAAGCTCAAGCCCCACACACACAAAACCTCCTTTACCCCCTCTCTCCAACCTTTCCTAGGCTGACCTCTACCCTGCCTTCCCTTCACTACAGATTTATACACTCTTGAAGTCATTCTATTTTGTTCCCTCCTTTCTACATGTTCGAACCACCTCAACAACCCCTCCTCAGCCCTCTGGACAATAATTTTGGTAATCCCACACCTCCTCCTTCTCCTCCTAATTTCCAAACTACAAATTCTCTGTATTATATTCACACCAAACATTGCCCTCAGACATGACATCTCCACTGCCTCCACCTTCTCACCACCATGCTTCGCACCCATATAAGAGCGTTGGTATAACTATACTCTCATACATTCCCCCTCTTTGCTTCCATGGACAAAGTTCTTTGTCTCCAAGACTCCTCCAATCTTTCATTACCTTATTTTTTTGTTATCCTCATCACCTTACTCTTTCCTATTGACTTTTAATTTTCTTCTTTCACATACCCTACCAAACTCATCAACCAACCTCTGCAATTTCTCTTCATAAATCTTCCAAAAGCACAGTATCATTAGCACTTTTAATTTTCTTCTTTACATACCCTACCAAATTCATCTACCAACCTCTGCAACTTCTCTTCAGAATCTCCCAAAAGCACAGTGTCATAAGCAAAGAGCAACTGTGACAACTCCCACTTGTGTTAGATTCTTTATCTTTTAACCCCAAACCTCGTACCAACACCCGAGCATTCACTTCTCTTAGAGCATCATCTAAAAATCTATTAACCCTTAAATGGTCCAAACGTATATATACGTTCACGCGCATAGCGCCCCAAATGTATACATACGTTTTCTTTGTCATTCGTTCAACATTGCCACAATAAGCCTGAGTCACCTAGACATGAGAGAATGGGTGTGTGCACTCACTGTGTTCCATATTAAAATAATTGGGGATGCCTGGGCACCATATGCTCTTTTTTCCTTTTAAAAGAAAAGATTTCTTTTTTCCTCAAAAAATTTGGGGCGCTATGCGAGTGAACGTATATATACGTTTGGACCGTTTAAGGGTTAAACAACCATGGTGACATCACACATCCTTGTCTAAGGCCTACTTTTACTGGGAAATAATCTCCCTCTCTCCCACATACTCTAACCTGAGCCTCACTATCCTCATAAAAACTCTTCACTACTTTCAATAACCTACCTTCTATTCCTTACATTTGCAACATCTGCCACATTGTCCCCATATACACCCTGTCATATGCCTTTTCCAAATCCAAAAATTCCACAAAAACCTCTTTACCCTTATCTAAAAACTATTCACCTATATGTTTCACTGTAAACACTTGGTCTACACACCCCCTACCTTTCCTAAAGGCCTCCTTGTTTCATCTCCTATCCTACTCTCCATCTTACTCTCAATTCTTTCAATAATAACTCTACCATACACTTCACCAGGTATACTCAACAGACTTTTTTTTTTCTTTCAACAAATCGACTGTTTCCCACCAAGGCAGGGTGGCCTAAAAAGAAAAACAAAAGTTTCTCTTTCTAAATTTAGTAATGTATACAGGAGAAAGGGTTACTAGCCCCTTGCTCCCAGCATTTTAGTTGCCTCTTATAACACGCATGGCTTATGGAGGAAGAATTCTGTTCCACTTCCCCGTGGAGATAACAGGAAATAAACAAGAACAAGAACTAGTAAGAAAATAGAAGAAAACCGAGGGGTATGTATATATGTACATGATTGTACATGTGTGTGTAGTGTGACCTAAGTGTAAGAAGAAGTAGCAAGACGTACCTGAAATCTTGCATGTTTATGAGACAGAAAAGAAACACCAGCAATCCTACCATCATGTAAAAACAATTACAGGTTTCTGTTTTACACTCACTTGCAGGACGGTAGTACCTCCATGGGCGGTTGCTGTCTACCAACCTACTACCTACAACTCAACAGACTTATTACCCCTATAATTTTGCACTCTCTTTGTCCCCTTTGCCTTTATACAAAGGAACTATGCATGCTCTCTGCCAATCCCTAGGTACATAAATAACAAAAGCAAAAGGCACAATACTATGACTGGAATGATACACAAATAACCCGCACATAGAAGAGTGGAGCTTACGACAACTTTGTAAATGGTCCAAGTCGGACTGAAACGTCATCACAAGCTCCTCTCGTCTATGTGCGGGTTATTTGTGTATAATCTCTAGGTACCTTACCCTCTTCCATACATTTATTAAATAAAAACACTAACCACTCTAAAACTATATCCCCACCCACTTTTAACATTTCTATCTGTATCCCATCAATCCCAGCTGCCTCACCCCCTTTCATTCTGCCCACTGCCTCATGAACTTTTCCCACACTCACAACTAGCTCTTCCTCACTCCTACAAGATGTTATTCCTCCTTGCCCTATACACGAAATCACAGCTTCCCTAACTTCATCAACATTTAACAATTCCTCAAAACATTCTCTCAATCTTCCCGATACCTCTAACTCCATTTAATAACTCTCCTCACCTATGACACTGTGCTCTTGGGAGATTCTGAAGAGAAGTTGCAGAGATTGGTGGATGAATTTGGTAGGGTGTGCAAAAGAAGAAAATTAAAAGTGAATACAGGAAAGAATAAGGTTATGAGGATAACAAAAAGATTAGGTGATGAAAGATTGGATATCAGATTGGAGAGACTGAGTATGGAGGAGGTGAATGTATTCAGATATTTGGGAGTGGACGTGTCAACGGATGGGTCTATGAAAGATGAGGTGAATCATAGAATTGATGAGGGGAAAAGGTGAGTGGTGCACTTAGGAGTCTGGGAGACAAAGAACTTTGTCCTTGGAGGCAAAGAGGGGAATGTATGAGAGTATAGTTTTACCAACGCTCTTATATGGGTGTGAAGCATGGGTGATGAATGTTGCAGCGAGGAGAAGGCTGGAGGCAGTGGAGATGTCATGTCTGAGGGCAATGTGTGGTGTGAGTATAATGCAGAGAATTCGTAGTTTGGAAGTTAGGAGGAGGTGCAGGATTACCAAAACTGTTGTCCAGAGGGCTGAGGAAGGGTTGTTGAGGTGGTTCGGACATGTAGAGAGAAATGGAGCGAAACAGAGTGACTCAAGAGTGTATCATTCTGTAGTGGAAGGAAGGCGTGGTAGGGGTCGGCCTAGGAAAGGTTGGAGGGAGGGGGTAAAGGAGGTTTTGTGTGCGAGGGGCTTGGACTTCCAGCAGGCATGCGTGAGCGTGTTTGATAGGAGTGAATGGAGACAAATGTTTTTTAATACTTGACATGCTGTTGGAGTGTGAGCAAAGTAACATTTATGAAGGGGTTCAGGGAAACCGGCAGGCCGGACTTGAGTCCTGGAGATGGGAATACAGTGCCTGCACTCTGAAGGAGGGGTGTTAATGTTGCAGTTTAAAAACTGTAGTGTAAAGCACCCTTCTGGCAAGACAGTGATGGAGTGAATGATGGTGAAAGTTTTTCTTTTTCGGGCCACCCTGCCTTGGTGGGAATCGGCCAGTGTGATAATAAAAATAAAAAAAAAACTATTTTTAACTATCAAATCCATTTGTTCCCTAGGATTCCTCAACTTATTGACCTAACTCTAAAACATTTTCTTATTTTCAACAAAATTTGTTGATAACATCTCACCCACTCTCTCATTTGCTCTCTTTTTACATTGCTTCACCACTCTCTTAACTCTTTTTTTCCTCTCCATATACTCCTCCCTCCTTGTATCACTTCTACTTTGTAAATACCTCTCATATGCTAACTTTTTCTCTCTTACTAATCTCTTTACATCATCATTCCACCAATTGCTCTTATTCCCTCTCGCACCCACTTTCCTGTAATTGCAAACTTCTGCTGAACACTCTAACACAACATTCTTAAACCTATCCCATACATATTCAACTTCATGGCCTATACTCTCACTAGCCCATCTATCCTCCAATAGTTGTTTATATCTTACCCCAACTGCCTCCTCCTTTAGCTTATAAACCTTCACCTCTCTCTTACTTGCTGCTTCAATTTTCCAAACAAAATAGATAAACATAAAGCAATTACTAGATATAAAAAGTGCACATAATGTAACTAAGTAAAGGAGCTTGCCCTAGGAAATTTAATAAATGGACAAGTATTCCATTGGTATATTACTCCAGCATTTACTTCCTGCTACAGAGCAATACACAGATTACTCTTATATTGTGAGTTAAATACCTTCGCTTCAAAATATTCTTGATTACCCAAAATTTTGAATAATTTAACATACCCAAATTTCACCACAAGGAAGACAAATTACTCTCAGATGAGATAATACCAATGTGTTATGTTACTTCATACCATGATATAGGCAGCCATATATATCATCTACGCCCATGACCATCACTACCATCTATGCCCATAACCATCACTACCCACATGGGGTGTTATTATGAGTGGGATGCCCTGAAATTCCTTAATAGTTTTATTCATAGTACCAAAAAGTTTCAATGTTCATAATATCAAGGATCAACTCTATCAGATCGAATTCTCTATACATTTTACAACAGAAGAGAAACAAGACAACTCACTTTTTTTTTTATATCTTCCTCATCAGGAACAATAACTTCCAACATAAAATCTACTGTAAACCTATTAATGAGGAAGATTTAATCCACAACTACTCTCACTATGACCTCAAAACAAAAAGAGAGGTGTGATGCATGGAGAGAACATGTCAGCCTCTCCTGCCATATCAAAGCCTTTAGCAGAATTACCAACTCAGAGAAAGCACCAATGCTGATCCCCAAATAATTCAACCCCTAAAACAGACAGCAACTTCCAGTCACCCTCTACTTCGGACATATGACACTGGAACTGTGGAAGTCACCAAGGTATCACCACATCAGGAAGACAAAACCAGCAGAGGTTTGCAACACTTCATGAAGAGATGCGATTACATTTATACAGGCAAAACAGTAAGATATTTTATCACACAATTACAGAGATAAAAAACTCCATGCAGAATAGACAACACAATGAATGTATGTCACACAACACATTATGTGTGTGCCACAGAACACACTTGAATGTTAAGACCATAGCACAGGCAGAGACTGAATTCATGGCAAGTGAATCGTAAAACTCCAGGCCAGTGCGTAAGCCACTGGGCCAGCTGGCCACGAGTTCAACCCCCAACCGTGATATGTTTGTTGGCAACCGTGTCATTATTATTTTGTGAGTCACACTGAGTGTATATCACACAATACCTTATGTGTGTGTGTCACACAACACACTGAATGTATGTCACACAACTCCCTGAATGTACATCACACAACACACTGAATGCATGTGTCACATAACATACTAGATGTGTGTGCCACACAAGACAATGAATGTGTTTGTGTGTCACACAACGCAGCAGTGCTGATCTGTGGTGCCACTGGACAACATGCTATAAGCACCAACAGCCTGAGCAATCAGGCCTGGTCTGAGACTAGGCTGTGGAGACAATGATAACAGTAACTGTTAATTTAGATATCAACAAATGTATTCACTATGGTTAGAACCAGTCTTCTGATTCTCATACTGAAATTCTCAACATAAAGTTACCTATAGAGGAGCACTGAGCAATTATTGGTAACGATGACTTCCAGGAGGTTGCATGCTGTCGTATAGCCCTACGAACTTTCATGTGTCCCCAGCGGTCTTTATCCTCTCCTGTGTGATAGCCAGGAGTACTACCCACAAACACCACACTGAAAGAAACAACAGTTAGTCAAATTTAATATATGTTATGCAGGATTCTGCAGTGCACTGTAATGTATATACAGAAGTGTGCCATAATTTTAATGAACTATGACATAATTGTAAATCATAAAGTTTGAACTATGGATAAAGGTCACTCATAATTTTAGAAATATGCTATGCATTGGTGGGTATTGTAAAGTACCTTAAACTGTAAAATGTAAGGAAATCCTGCCGGGACTTATTTTATAAGTTAGTGGGTAAGCGTGAGTGGCTTGGCTTGGGGCAGTCACATGGAGTGAGCAGGAGGGAGTGAAGATGCTGTCCAGGCACTGGGACTCTGAGATAAGTTTGTACTCATTTTGTTAGGCATCTCGAGCCACAGGCTCTTTTATGGTTTACCAATATGTTCACCCAGGCTCTGATAGGGTCAGGATTTTGCATGACGAGTGAGGACTTAGGGCATAGGAGGTAATGGGGTTAGTGGAGTAGGGAAAGCCTGGCACTCACTGGGCTAGGTGTTTGTTTTGCTGGACTCCCCAGCCTCTTGCTTCTTGTGTACCATTATTTGGGCACTTAGGAGAAGATATATATGAAGGTGGTATTCTAGAGTGTGTATATAGTGTTATAACTAATAAATGTATATTTTCCTAACTAGGGATTTTGCCTAACCCTGTGATAACCAACCCATTGAAGTAACAAATGCTGGTTTAGAGCTTTCGGTTTTGACTGGGATAGCCCTAGGTGGCCTGTTTCAGCATGAGATTCGTTTAACTTTTACCTTTGCTCCTAGATGAGGCCTTAGCCCCCAGGTAATGCCACTTTCTGCATAACAATATAGTACTTTCAAAATATTCTTTAACACTATAATTCTAAACAGTGTTTACAGTAAAACAAAATCTACCATAATGTGTACCAATGTTAGCTGCCTTTTTTATCCGAAAAAGTCAATCACTAAGTAACTCACATATTTTGACATCATTCTCTACAACTTTCCTTCCCTGTGGAAACATGCACTAATTAAATGTAATTGTTTGGGGAGCCTTAGATATCTAGTACAGAAACCACTCTTATAAGGATCCTCTATACATGTATAGTGCAATGTTTCGTAAATACAACTGAAAATGTACATCCAAAATTGAATAGCACATGGAAAGGCCATCACAGTATATGCTATTTAATTTTGGATAAGCATTTTTCAATCCAATTTACAACAAAATCACATGATATAGAGGAGCTTTATAAAAGAGCTTACTGTATTACTATCTTAAGCTGAAGACAGTTAGTAACTATCTTCAGCTTAACCCTCAACTGTTCAAACATAAATCTACATTTTCTAGCACAGCTCTCTGACCTTGATTTTCCCCATAAGAAAGAATGTAAAAAAAACGTAGATCTATGTTTGGAGTGCTACGCGAGCAAACGTAGATCTATGAACAGTTTAAGGGTTAAGAAGATACAGTGAAGTCTTCATTGATACAGTGTTTCAACCACAAGTAGGCTTTATCAAGTACATGGGTAAAATGTTGCACCAGTAAAGACTTCACTGTACAAAGTGCCTCTTTATCAATCACCAACATATTCAACACTTATATTAAAACAGCTATAGTAGGTAAATGACTGTTAAGAGTACAGGAATGTGTAGTTACAGTTTAATTATGGGTTACTGGACTTCACAGCCTCCCACCTTCACTATACATCTGTAATGCCTCAATTTTCTTAGAAACTATTAGGATTTCATGTTTAATTTTCTTCTTGACACCTTCAGCATCACTAGTATTCCTCTTGAGTGCCTTGGTTACTATCCAGAGATCAAATGGGATGACAAAGGGATAAAAAAATTAACTGAATAACACATGGCACATGACACAAATACAGTAACTAGTAGTGTGGGAGTTTACATGAAGGAATGAGACTAGGCCTTTTCTCTAAAAAAAAAAAAACCCTCACCCATGGGAAAACTGTAGGTAGAGGGGAAATATCTCACAATGCATTCTAACAACATTTGGCACGCAGAGTGGGCTGACACTAATTTTTCCACAAATTTACAACATGCTCTGGGACACTACCAGTTATTTCTCTTGCAACATGAAACTGATAACAAAATTTCATTATTTCATTAGTGTTGTACTGAAAATGTTGTTGTGTGAATGAGTGTTACTTGAGAGGCAAGCACAGTTTTAAAATATAATAACATTATTCTTCTAACAGAAAAAAAAAAAACACATTCAGACGCTTAAAAGTAAAACTTACTTGCAGCTACTAAAGTCGTACTTCATAATAATATGTGTCCAGCGTACAAGATCTGGAGCTTTGTATGATAACAGGTACTCTACTAAGTCACGTTTGAAGCGGGTGGGCGACTCTCCATCTAAAAGACCCGATTTCCCATTTTCTGAAAATAAAATTTAAGAATAAGAAACCAAAATGTGGAGAATATCATCAAACCTATATGGGTCATTTTAAAGAAGTTTTATGGTGGAATATACAGTAATTACATAAAACACATGAAGCAGTCCTTGATTTATGACACAAATGTATTTCAGGCACAATGCAGCTGTGGTAATCTCACTCAGGTTATTAACACTTAATTCATTAAGTTTTGTGAATTGAACTGATTGAAAAGGAGTAACTTTTTATCACATATAAGGAATTAATGGTAGGAAATGATCATTTAATAAAAGCAATTTAAAATATAGTGGAATACAAATCCTGGAATAACAGTTCCAAAATGTAAATTCTCTAAAAACCATCATCCATGGAGCAAAGGTCATACATCTGCCTCAAAATTAAATAAAAACTGCCAGTTTCTAAGGTGTACTAATTTACTCCATCAATGCTAACACTGTTAACCCTTTTGAGGTTTCGGCCATACAAGTACGGCTTACGCACCAGGGTTTTTGACGTACTAGTACGCATAAATTCTAGCGCCCTCAAATCTAGCAAGAGAAAGCTGGTAGGCCTACATATGAAAGAATGGGTCAATGTGGTCAGTGTGCGCAGTATAAAAAAAATCCTGCAGCACACAGTGCGTAATGAGAAAAAAAACTTTGACAATGTTTCTGGTTTAAAACAGTGACTTTGCACTGTATTTTCGTATGGTATTTATTGTTGTATTCCAGTTTTCCTGGTCTCATTGTATAGAATGGAAGGCACATTACAGAAATTACGATGATTTTGGCTGGTTTTACAATGAAAAGTACCTTGAAATTGAGCTCAAAGTAGCAGAAATGTTCGATTTTTACCAAAGATCAAAAGTAAACAAATCATGCCATGCGTCCAATACACGTCAACTGGTGAGTCTAATATTCTTTCACAAGTGTGCTGATATTATTTATACCATTTCTACACTAATGCAGTAGTCTGCATAACAGTAAATCTTATTTTTTTTTGTGAGAATAAAAAATCTAAGTGGAAAGCAAAAGAAATGTAAGAAGAGCCTAGGGACATGACTACTGTACAGAGGAAATGTTATTTTAGTGCCAGGAATGTCTTTCTTGTTTATTCTGGACCCTATTTGAAAAATGGCATCTTTTGAAATTTGTGTGAAATTGGCAAAATTGCTAAATTCTGACCACTTTATTGGATAGTTGAAATCGGTAAATGGGTGGTTTCTCGTACTCAATCGATAGAAAAAACGGGGAGTCTAATATTATTTCACTAGTTCACTGATATTATCTATAACATTTTTACAATAATGCAGTAGTCTGCATAACCGTAAATTTTGTATTTTTTGTATGAATAAAAAATCAAAACAGAAAGCAATAGTAATATAAGAGGGGCCTAGAGACGTGAGTAATGTACAGAGGATACGTTATTTTAGTGCCAAACATGTCTACATTGTTTATTCTGGACCCTATTTTGAAATTGGCATCTTTTTTAATTTACGTGAAATTGACCAAATTGCTAATTTCTGGGTTTATAGTCAGTGGGTGAGTGAGTGTAATTGTGAGCCACCAGGTGGTTATCATGTAGTTAGTTGTCAGGGTGGATCAGGGAGATAAGATGTTTTCTAACTGTAGTTTTGAAAGTGATGAATGTGTCTGCAGTTCTAGAGTTTTCAGGTAGGGTGTTCCAGATTTTAGGTCCTTTGAAATACATTGAATTTTTGTAAAGGTTTAGTCGAACACGGGGAATGCCATAGAGATGTTTGTGTCTGGTGTTATGCCTGTGGATCCTGTCATAACTATCAAGTGTTTTAGGTCAAGGTTAATTAATATTGGAATTTAAGGTCCTGTAGATATAGATTGCACAGTAGTAAGTGTGGATGTTCTGAACAGGGAGAAGTTTAGATCTATGAAGAGTGGGGGTGTGTTGCCAGGGATGGAATTTAGTGATTATTCTTACTGCAGCTTTTTGTTGGGTTATTATTGGCTTAAGGTGTGTTGCTGCAGTTGAACCCCAAGCACAGATAGCATAGGTGAGGTATGGATATACAGTAGGGCCCCACTTATACGGCGGGTTAGGTTCCAGGCTGTCGCCGGAAAGCAGATATCGCCGGAAGGCAGAACTCCATTTTTTTCCATTTATAAATGCATATAAATGCCAGACAGCAAGTTTACACTAAATTATATTAAGTTAGTAATAGAACTAGGCATTAAAAACACACAAAGTAAAATACAGTCACAGTAAATTCCTTACTTATCTTAAAGTATTTGTAATCTTAACCCTTTGAGGGTCGACAGGCCCTCTCCGAAACTCGTTCTCAGGGTCGGCCAAATTTCAAAAAAAAAAAAATTATTTTTTCTTATGAAAAAATAGAGTTTTTTTTTTCTAAACATTATAGGATAAACAAAAAAAATTTACCATCAATACTTACGGAGATATGGATGCATGAAGTTTGCAGAAAATGAGCCGCGTATGGCAACAGCGGCGACTGCCGCTCACCCGGTAAACTTTAGTTTACTTGTATTTGAAGGTTTGTTGTTTTTTTCACTATTTTATTTTTTCACATAACTTATGTGGCCTATGAGACCAAAGTAAGGTGCAATGTACATATATACACTCGTTGTATACAAAACAATAAGCACCACAAACATAATTATCAATATATTGTTTACAAAACTGTTTACAAAAACAAACAATACAAAACATTGTTTATTATTATTGTTCTATAATATATATACCAATATACAGTCACTGAACATATTCCTATTAGTTCTGCAGCTTGTGGAACTCTGAAACATGGTGTCATACACAATGGTGTTTTATCTTTCTCCCTCATTCTATCTCTTTCAATCTGTCTCTCTCTTTCTATCGTCTGTCTATCTCTGTCTCACAGGTACACATAAATACAAGTATACATAGTATAAATTACCTAGGATAACCCAAGAAATCCAGACAAAGTGCTATACTCTGCTTGAAGATGTGAGTAAAAGTGATGACAGTCTTGTGGCTCTCTGAGACAGAGAGCTAGACGATAGACAGATAGACAGGGAGCTTGACAGACAGACAAATAGACAGACAGAAATGTTAGTGTACCAGTACCAGTGTACTAGTGTTCCACCCTCCTCCTCCTCCTCTTCCTCTTCCTCCTCTTCCCCCTACTCTTCCTCCTCTTTCCCCTACTCTTCCTCATACTCTTCCTCTTCCTCCACTCTTCCTCTTCCTCCTCCTCCCTTCCCCTCCTCCTCTTCTTCCTCTTCCTCCTACTCTTCCTCTTCCTCCTACTCTTCCTCCTCCTCCTCCTCCTCCTCTTCTTCCTCTTCCCCCTAATCTTCCTCCTACTATTCCTCTTCCTCCTCCTCTTCCTCTTATTCCTCTTCCTCCTACTCTTCCTCTTCCTCCTCCTCCTCTTCTTCCTCCTACTCTTCCTCCTTCTCCTTCTTCTCCTCCTCCTCCATAGTGTAAATTACCAGGAGTCGGCAGCTGTCAAAATGACATATTGTCTCATTAGTCACTCCCCCCTCCCGCCTGTCAAAACAATGGGGTCGGATGCTGCTTCCCTTCCTCCATTCTATCTAATTATCTTTCTCCCTCATTCTATCTGTCTTTTTATCTCTGTTCTCACAGGTACACATAAATACAAGTATACATAGTATAAATTACCTAGGATAACCCAAGAAACCCAGACAAAGTGCTATACTCTGCTTGAAGATGTGAGTAAAAGTGATGACACAGTCTTGTGGCTCTCTGAGACAGAGAGCTAGACGGATAGACAGGGAGCTTGACAGACAGGCAAATAGACAGACAGAAATGTTAGTATGCCAGCAAAAACAAAGGAGGGAGATGTTTTATCTCATCTTTTGGCATCAGCTCTACCCTCATTTACCCTCATCAAACGTCAGCACTTATCAGATGTTATCTCCCCTTATCTTGTTACTGTCAGGGGTGAACATTTATTATTACATATTATTATTATTATTATACCTATATTATTATTATGTATTATTATTATGTATTATTATTATTATGTATTATTGTTATCATTATGTATTCTTCTTCTTCCTCCTCCTCCTCTTCTTCTTCCTCCTCCTCCTCTTCTTCCTCCTCCTCCTCCTCCTCCTCCTCTTCTTCCTCCTCCTCCTCCTCCTCCTCTGCCTCCTCCTCCTCTTGCCTCCTCCTCCTCTTGCCTCCTCCTCCTCTTGCCTCCTCCTCCTCTGCCTCCTCCTCCTCTGCCTCCTCCTCCTCCTCCATTCTTGGAACAAGTTTGAAGAGCTTGTAGTTCATAATCACTATCACTATCATCACCAATGCTCACATCTGAGTCTGGGATTTTGGAAAATAGGAGTTTCCTCTTTGATTCTGGTACAACTGAACGTGAACAAGATGGCCCAGCACCAGAGGTGGAAGGCTGTGGGTTGTCTGGGTTTTCCTCACTATTACCCATATTATGGTCATTAGTTTCAGTCAAAACCTCACCAGAACCTTGAAATTCATCTTCACTGTCACTTCCATCTGTATTAGAACTGTCACTGGGGAACAAAAGTGTCCCAATTCGCCGAGGAGTGAGGAACTTCTTACCACAAAGCATGGTGGAAATTGTGTACTATGATGGCATTCCCACAATGCACCACTGGGTCCCAAATTTTTTTCCTACTGCGCACACCCACCACACAGACCCATTCTCTCACATCTAGGCTTATCAGCCTTTTCCTGTGAGATTTTAGGCCGCTAGAATTTATGCGTACTAGTACGACAAAAACCCCTACGCGTAAGACGTACTAGTACGACCAAAACCCTCAAAGGGTTAATGTAGGGAGAGAGGTGAGTAGTACTTATTTGTAGGAAGTCAGGTGAAGGTAGCCCAGGTGTAGGTAGCACTGGCTCCCCATCTCATACTGAATATACGATATTTAAAACATCCCAGAGAGGTAAAATGCTCATACAGTACACTCATTATTTACCTTAAAATATGTGTAGTCTTAATATAGGAAGAGAGGTGAGTAGTATTTATTTGTATAAAATCAGAGTAGGTAGATGGTAGGTGTAGC